CTGGCTCTGGAAGAGGAATTAATCCTGTATCAAAAGAATCAATGGAAAAAGCATATAAATGTTTGGATGTTCCCACCAATTTATCATCACCATCTACTAATTCCAATAATAATCTTTTGGGAATATTTGGATTCTCCACTGGCTCTGGAAGAGAAATTAATCCTTTATCAAAAGAATCAATAGAAAAGGCATACAAGTTTTTGGACATTCCTACTGATTTATCATCACCATCTACCAATTTCAATAATATATCAAATAATCCTTCAGGAATATCTGGATTTTCCACTGGCTCTGGAAAAGGAATTAATCCTGTATCAAAAGAATCAATGGAAAAAGCATACAAATGTTTGGATGTTCCCACCAATTCATTATCACCATCTACTAATTCCAATAATATATCAAATAATCCTTCAGGAATACCTGGATTTTCCACTGGCTCTGGAAGAGGAATTAATCCTGTATCAAAAGAATCAATGGAAAAAGCATATAAATGTTTGGATGTTCCCACCCATTCATTATTACCATCTATTAATTCCAATAATATGTCAAATAATACTTTGGGAATATCTGGATTTTCTCCTGGCTCTGGAAGAGGAATTAATCCTGTATCAAAAGAATCAATGGAAAAAGCATATAAATGTTTGGATGTTCCTACCCATTCATTATTGCCATCTATTAATTCCAATATTATATCAAATAATACTTTGGGAATATCTGGATTTTCCACTGGCTCTGGAAGAGGAATTAATCCTATATCAAAAGAATCAATGGAAGAAGCATACAAGCATTTGGATGTTTCTGAACAATCTTCAAATATCAGACCTTTAAAAGATAATGATATAAAAAAGTTTAGAAAACCTATAAAAAGTATTGAAAATAATAATAATAAAAACAACAACAATAGTAATAATAATCTATTAAATGAAACACCTAGTAATATAAAGAAATCAAAAAAAAATCGACATTCAATTAAATATGATTCAAATATTTATAAATCACCATCAATCAAATCTTCTCATCAATCTAATTTAAAATCAAGAACTCCACTCAAATCATTGCATTCATTACAAAATATTAAAAATTTGACACCTCAATCTAATAAAAATAATGACAACAATAAAAGAAAATATAAAAAAAATATAAAATCTTCATCTTTATCATCACAGACAACAATCTCTTCATCAATCAATAATAATAATGATGATGATAATAACATTGGCACCAAATTCTTTGAATTATCATCATCTGTACCTAGAAATGTTATGGGAAACTTGGTATATCATCATCCTTTGAAATTTACTGAACAAAATTTATTAAATTTTGAAATACCAACAGATGCTTTATATATAAATCCATCAAATGCCACTCATTATAGATTCACTTGGCCAAGACTTTTTTCAAAATCAGATTCCCAACCACAACAAAAAACATGGGGCCCAAATGAAGCATTATCATGTTTAATTGAGTGTGGTGCTAATCCTAAATTGATAGATGAACAATGGGTGCTAAATCATTACAAATGGATAGTATGGAAAATAACTAGTATGATTAGATCTTATCCTTATTTGTTTCGTGACTGGCTATCATCTGATACAGTACTTGATCAGTTAAGATATAGATATGAAAGAGAAATAAATCGTGCACACAGATCTTCTATTAAATTAATTGTAGAAGGTGATACTTCACCATCATGGCCTATTGTTCTTTGTGTATCAGATATAATTGATGATAGTAACACTCCATTAACATCACAATCTTCTTCATTGTCATCAACACCACTATCTTCTTCATTGTCATCAGCACCATTATTTTCCTCATTGTCATCAACTTCTTACTCATCATCACCACCTTTCCCTTATATATCAAAATCATCATCATCAACTAATAAAGAAATTCCTATTGATTCAAAACTTTCACTTGAATTGACTGATGGCTGGTATAAGATTCATGCATGTATTGATCCACCATTACAACGAGCTATAATGAAATCCAAAATAAAAATAGGTAGCAAACTTGAAATTTGTGGTGCAAAAGTTTATGGAGAGTCTGTTGGCAAAACATCAGTATTAGAAGCAACAAATTCCATATATTTGAAATTATCAGGAAATTCAACAAAACCAGC